GGCGTCTCGTCGGGCGCGTGCACTGGCAGGGTTTCACTGCCACGTGGCCCGCGGGGAGGCCTGCGGTCAGCTCGCGGGTCGACCGCGTTCCCGCCTACAAGAAACGGAGCTCTCCGAAGTCGGCACACACCAGCAAAGCCGGCCCCTCAGGATAGGAAGCTGACCAAGCTTCTCGTCCCTTTGTCAGCCTCGAAGCTCGATCAGCTTCGGGGACTACTGTCGGAGTAAATAGCCATGGGTAGCCTAGCCGGCTTCCCTTGGCCCTTCTGAAAAAATTACGATCCCATCCAGCTCTCAAGAATCCAAGACGTGGGGCCGCCTTCCCCTTGTCGGCTGTCTCCCAGGCCGGCTATCGGAAGGCGGCCCGACTTTAGCCCTCGTGAAGAAAGCCACGGGAGGGCCGGCCGCGAGAAGGCCGACTCCAAGAAGCCGGCTCCCATGGAGTGGTCAAGACCGTACCCTCAAAGTTTGCATCCACTTAACGGCGATGTGACGGGGTGTGGCTACAGTGAAGCCTGCCAGCCCCGAATCCCGGAGCACGACTGGCACAGTGCGTCATACGGGTGGCCATGACCCGTCTGGCGCGGCACTGTTGCCACGTTGACCCTGATGTCATCCATGATGGACTACCAGTACGGCCCACGGGCGGTGGGCCCCTTCTGGCAGAGAGGCACCCGAAGGCGGCCGTGCATCCCCCAGTCGGCCCGAGACATAGCCGGCTCTCCCAGCAGCCGGCGTAGAAGCCGGCGAGCGTAGACACAGACGGCTGGGCCCCACGCCCAGCCGGATTACCATTGTACTCCCGGGGGTAGGCCTATATAAACCCCCCGGGACACCCATGCAAAGGGTTGATCCCTGCTAGCAGTAGGGGTGTTATCTCCACGGAGAGCCCCGAAGCTGGGTAAGATTCGCCGGCGTGCATGTCTTCGCCTCATCCCGTTTCCAGGCACCGGCGATGTTTTACTGGCTCCCACAATGATAAGCCACCCGTTGGCATATGTCGCACCTACCACCCGACAGGCCGCCTGTCGTGCGAGGCCGCCGGGTCGGGGCGATGGGCGGGCAGACGCACGGACAACGATCGTTAGGGGCCGCCTATCGCGTGTGGCCGCTGGGTCGGTGAAGAGGCTGGCCGGTCACACCGGTATCGGAGTAGAGGTGCACGGTGGTCGACGGCGACAGCGAGCAATGCAAACCGATCAAGCATAGATCGAAAAACCAAAAAGAAAAACGCCGATCAAAACGGCCGGCGAGAGGGCGAAAAAAAACCCGGAGCAAGGGCTCGGGAAAAAGACTCTCTAGAGCAGCAGGTCAACACGACCGGCGGACGAACCCTATGTACGGGCGGCGCGGCCCCCGGCGGTGGTCATGGAGGCCAACCGCCCCGAGGACAGAAGCGGCGGCGGCTAGGATTTAGAACCCGAAAACTGATACCATGTTAGAAGGGATAGAGGGATTGGTGTAATGTTCGTTGTATTGCTTGAGCCTCGTGAGCATATATATAGGAATACATTATCATCTTGGAGTACAAGGCAAGGTAGAATAATATCCTACGCTATCCTAACTTTCTAATAATCACGATACTCAACAATAATAGCCTTGGCAGCGGAGTAGTGGCCACGAAGGAGAGCGGTGGTGGCAGGCGGCGGACGGCAGTGGTGCGGCAGGGGACTGTCGCAGGGATTGCGGCGGAGAAGAGTGTTAGTGGCCGGCGACGTACGGCAAGAGTGGGGTGGGGGTGTCGCAGGGGATGAAGGAGGACGAAAGTGCTGGTGTGGTGGCCGGCGTCGGTGCAGGGGAGGGGTAAGGGGGTTGCCTTAGGGGATGGCGGCGCCTGCGGCCTGCAGCAATGATACGCATGAAGGGTTTTTTTAGGGGAACATCCTCAGCCTCAGGGGACGCTCATTTTTGGGCTGCCTCCACCCGATTTTTTCATTTTACCTTTTATAGTTTTCTTGGTTTACTCTGGTTTAGTTCTTTCTTTTGTTTTTAACATAAAAATATGGTTGCATTTTTTACAATAACTGCGTGGACATTTTAAAATTACATGAACAATTTTATAAAGATGTGCGTACAATTTTCAAGGACGTGTGGACATTTTTTTTATATGTATATGAGTTACTCCCTCGGTCCAAAAATAATTGTGTCAACTTTAGTACTCCACTTATTTTGTACTCCATCTGTAAAGAAATATAAGAGTGTTTAGATTATTACTTTAGTGATCACTTATTTTGTACTAAAGTTGATACGATTTATTTTGGGACAGAGGGATTTTTCTTTAAATCTAATATTGTAAATTTTGTGAACTTAAAGCAAACGAAATATATGTTTCCAAAATACTAAATCTGAAATCTGTCAACATTTCCTAAAGGAAATATGAACATTTTTAAAATAAATTTGATACTTTTTATAATTTCATGAGCATTTAAAAAATGTATAGCTTTAAAAAACAAGAAGATCTTTTTAATTTTAATTTTTTTTCAAACATCATCAACAGTTGAAAACAAAATAAACAAAAAGGTAAAAAATGTAGTCTAGACAAGAAGATGGCATCAGTCTCAAGATCCACAATATCATCTTTTCTTTATGTCTGATCAAGAAGATTGTTGTCGGCCACAAAGTTAACCGTGTCATGATCTTGTGCTTGATGATGAGGGTTCGTCTAGACAAAAGCCCTTCCTGTCATTGCTTTTTTTCACGTAGTCTTTAAGTGAACTCGTCCCGCCTTCTCTTCCTGTGGTCCTCCTTGAAACGGGGCTAGAAGAGCTGACTAGACTATCAATGTTGGCACTCTTGAGAGCCAACGGCTTCCCCGTGCATTTGAGAATCCTTGGAATGAAGAACAAGATTGATGCCGGAAACAACCTCTAGTTGTCGCCATGCCATGATTTTCAGAACATGATTTTCAGAACAAACCCATGACCATGGTTTTCACTTTCGGTGAGATTTCGATGAAATTCACGAAATTCATTAATTTCAGTGGACACTAAAATATTTACCTTCCAGCCAAAATATTTTAGCAATTTCAGTAGTACATAGAATTCAAATATTTTTTAAAATATTTTTCAAAATTTTGGTTAAATTCAAGTTACTGAATTCACGGAATTTTGGTGACTTCGGCTGTTGCTGAAATTTCCTGAAACTGAAATTGAAAACCTTGCCTCTAGGACACGGTGGTGAGGACATGTTGTGTCCATAGCTCGTTGCGATGTTGTAGGCGGTAATGCCGTCTTGCCCGCAAAGGTGCACTAGGAGAAGTGTCACTCAGACATGTTTGGTACTAGTTCGGTGCTTGATTTATAAACTCTTTTTACCCCGGAAAAGAAATTACGTTCATCAGATCTTCATTAATTAATGGGGTTGTTGGTAGTTGACACTATTGGTTGCCTGGGGAGGCTGATCTGGCAGATCTTATTTCTAGAACCTTGCAGAAAATCGAGCCAATGGATTCATGACTGATTTATTGTGAAAATTTAGTATGACATAATTAAGTACACTGTCCAATTCCACACTACCATATAACGAGAGGCTAGCACCCAAATACAAATATAATAGCACTTATATTTTATACCTTGAAAACAAAACAGTATAACATTTGCAAAGAAAAACATCAAGACATACCAGTTGGATGATATTATAAAAATCTCTTGTTTACATATTGTGAATAGAGTAATTTCGAAAATAACTTCATAGCTTCAGGTGCAGCTTCTCCTTCCCGAAAACATCAGCAAAATAGTCAAGTTACATTGAAAGTGTATAATACCATAAATCAAACGAAGCATGTACAATCACTCACATTACAGTGTTCTCCCTTTCGACCATTCCAGTCAATTAATTACCAATGTATAACTCACAACTTGCCCCTAGTTATGATCTGTGAAAAAGGCGGCAACACAAATAATAGATGGATCGTCTTAATATCAGTTCTCTGTATAGATGGATTTTTCTCTTTTCGAAATCTGTAAGAGTACTTACATCAACGATGTTTGATGCATTTTACCTGCATCTAACAGGTGGCCTTGAAGTGCCTACATCATAATCTGAATCTGGTGATTGGTTTCTATTTGAGAAATATTGCTCCACTGCCGAGATCAATCAAAGTTCAGGAAAAGTTAATTAGAAAATTAGGGCAAAGGCTAGGCTAAATAGAACATGCATGAGAAGAAGAATATGTGGTGATCTACTAGTAACTTGTATTTGTACTGCACGCTGACCTGCTGTTGCTTCCTTGGGGCTGGCTGGCGAAGACTAGGCGATGCGCCGTCACCGCGATGGGCGAACAAGATGGGGAGAGGCGGAGTAGAGGGAAGACCCCGGTAAGTCTTGGCGAGCGAGAGTCATCGATTCACAACACATCCGACCTGATGCGTTACGAGTCATCTAACGCACGCACGGGACAGTAGTAGCAGTTTACGTATGGGCCTTAGCTGGGCTACTCCCGTGAAGATTTCTGGACTAAAAGGCTTTCGCTTGTGAATTCCAAATTCCGATGGGTGCAGCCTCGATTTTCTAATGGGTTCACGCACACGATAACCTACATATGCGTACGTGGCAGCAGAAAATCGTTGGGTTCACTTGAACCCAACGCCACAACGCTGGCTCCCCCCCTGTTGGTACATGTGTTCCACTGAGCTACCTTTCCCATTTACATTTCTCCTATTTCTACTTTATCATATTGTGGATTGCTAGCCAGGTGATTCATGCAGTTCCAATTTTTCCACTTAGCATGATATACCCAATGATATTATTGATACAGATAGTAATAGAATATGACATATACATGATAGGCACGACAACAAACTACAAGCAGACATTGTTGGAGCACACCAGCATGGCAAACACATACAAATGAAAATACCAAGTGCTTTAATACTTTTCTAATCGAACGCCACATGGACCTTAAAGCAACTAATGTTTATACTTCAGCTACTTCAAGACCCGTGGAACTTTCCCTTAGAAAAATAAGCACCTCCTTATTCCCACCTTTAAAGCACAACATCTTATGGGTAGACCTCGATGACGGATCGAGCTCCCAATTTCTTCACAATTTTGTAGTCCGTGAATCCGGCTTTCTTGAATAGCTCGGACCAGTGTTTTTCATCACGTTGGCCACCCCTCGTGTTTACCATCATGAGCATATCCATCAAAAGTTGGGCTTCAAACATTACTGGCCCTAAGGAAGGTCCAACCACAATCTCTATGATTATCACCTTTCCTCCCTCCTCACGTGGAGGAATAGCCTTTCTGCACTGGGCTAGGATTTTCACACAGTCCTCATCGCTCCAAAAGTGTAGCACAAGCTACAAAAATAGGTAAATTTTGAAGAATGAAATATGAATAAGCCTGAATTTTATGAGTTGTAGCTTGTCATGTCATACCTTGAGCATCACGGCTTGAGATGGTGGGACGGTGTGGAACAGGTCACCCGCAACATAGTTGATGACACCATCGGCTGGGGCTTTGTCAATCACCTTCGGAAGGTCTAGAACAGTGCACTTAATGTGAGGGTAAGCCTTGACGAGGGCCCTCGCCGTCGTACCATCGCCACCGCAGCAGTCAGTGAGGGACTCAAGCCCCTTGAAGATGTCACCGCACTCACGGAGTATGGTGGCAATCCCCAGGTTGTCATGGGCAGCTACGCCTTGGTTGACAACGTCGTCGAGCTCTTCGTCAAGGAGGGCAGTTTTCTCATCCAAGAGTGGCACGCCGAACTTCTCCTCGAAAGGTGACGGCACCGGTGGCTCGGTGTCCTTCTTGAACCAGTCTGCCAGCCCCAGCGCCGCCTCCGTGTAGTGCGGTGAGGTGACACCAAGCACGAAATACTTTTGGCTATGGTGCTCATCCGCCACGACGCCGTGCACCAGAACGCGGGACAGCGGGGTGAGGCGGTAGAGCTCCATGCCGGGCTCGGACTCGTTGTCGGCTGCGAAGACGCCCGAGTTGACGAGCACGCGCATGACCCGGCCAAGAAATGGCATCTTAACCGAGGGAAGGGACAGTGCGGTCATCAGGTCGGGCAGCGAGGCGACCCCACCAAGGCGGTGGATGGCCGTCGGGATCTCAAGGTCGACGACACACCGGAGCGCCATTGAGGTGAGGTAATAGAGGCTGTGACGCCACAGGTCTGCCTGTGCCTGCAGCAGCTCAGCGTCCGTGGGAACCTCGATGCTCTCAGCCTGAGCCGCCATTGCTCTCTCTCCCTTTCTGTGTTCAATTATGTGAGGACTGTGTGACTGATTTTGCGTAGCATGCAAGTGTTTATATATAGCTGCCAGCCTACTCCTGTCGAGAGGAGTGGGTATTAGAGTTTGGTTAGCTGTGGAGCGAAAGGTGACACGTCACACGCGACACACGAGACAATAAAATATGAATATGGAAGTGTGTAGGCAGCCCAAATCAAGTCTCACGCGACACACGGTCCACTGTCCCAATTGTAGTAATGTGGCGTCAGAACTGTCATCAGATCTTCATGAATTAATGTGGTTGAAGGAAGAGAGTTTGTAATCAAGCGCATTAGGAGAGAGCAAAACTCGGAGTCATTTCGTAGCGAATTTCGGTAGAAATGAGAAGCGCATTGCTGTATGACTTCGATCTGAGCCTGGCGAGGTTCCTGAACTATATAATGCAGACATGTTTAGTACTACTTCGGTGCTTGATTTATAAACTCTTTTTACCCCGGAAAAAAATTACGTTCATCAGATCTTCATTATTAATTAATGGGCTTGTTGGTAGTTGACACTATTGATTGCCTGGGGAGGCTGATCTCGCAGATCTTATTTCTAGAACCTTGCAGAAAAAATGTTGAAGACAACTGACACTTGCTGCGTGGGCTATTGATGTTCCCGATCCCCCAAATCTCCGTGATGGGTGTTTCAGTTCTGCCCTGATTGTCCACACCATCAGGCAGTCACCCCCGCCGTCGTCTCTGCCATTTCTGGCCCATCAGCATGCTGCCGACGACGCTTATGGCCCACCAGGGTACTGTCACCGACGTCTGCGACCTCTCCGTCTAAACACTGCAGAGCTTCGGCCTCGTCAGATCCAACCACTGAGTGACATGCATGTTTGGTTATTTCAATCTTCATGTGTTCTTGTGAAGGGAGTATATAGACAACGGAATTGATGGAGAACAGAGCTTTATCGACTCAAATGCATCGCCATTCGCACAGACATGATACGCACAATCCATAAAGATGAAAGGAAAATAATACTGAAATAATAACAAAGCTGCTAAATATTTTGGAGAGGGGCTAGATTTTGGCAAAGTTCTGTGCACACGAACAAGATAACTTCCGGCTGCTAAATTCATTAATTTTCAGCTTCAATCCAGGTTGAACTTCACTTAAAGCAGTTAAACATTCAAGTTCAATAAATTCAACTAAGCAACATAGCCATGGGCAGCAACTAGACGTGCATGGATTTTGTTAAATATATTTAAAGTCGCCTAGAGACTCTTATCTTCAGTATATGTTGTGTGAGTATGGTGATTTTATCTGGTGCGCCGGGGCATTTCTTTGAGACACGAAAATGACAAATTCGACATGAATGTGGTAATGGGCCAAATCTGAAGCCCTACTTGTGTTATGTACTATCCAGTGTCGAATTTGTCAATTTGTATCTCAAGCAATGCTTCAAATTTTGATTTCAATTTTTGTGACAACATACAATGATGTTGTGTCAATGCACTAATTTGTTTTCAGATATTTTGTGTATAACTTTAAATATGCAACGGGGGTCCGATGCACGGGTAGCACCAAATGTCCCCGTGCACCATATACATTCCCACATTCATGTGGTCGTTTGCATATGCATGTGTGATGCGTCCACTTATTGTACTCATGTTTTAAAAAAGGACAAAAAGACAAGATTTGGTGAAATGTCATCTTATGCACTTTTCACGCTACCAGTGGCGGAGCCTGCGTATGAGCGTTGGGTTCAGCTGAACCCAACGACTTTGCCTGGCCAGGGGTATAATACACATATAGTATGTGCATGAACCCAATACAAAATCAGGGCTGAACCCATCAACTTGGAATGAAACGCTCGGTGAGAAGCCCAAAAGCCCACAATGTAAATTCTCTCAGTCCCAGCCTGACAGGCCTGTTCGTGGCTTCCTGTCGCTGTTCTATTTCTGTACGTGTATAGGGCAGCCGCCGGCCGCACGACCTTTTGCGTTTTTTTTCGCCCCCTCCAATCTCAGATCTATTCTCTCGCCTCGATACTCCAGCAACAGAGATGAGGCGACAAGGACAGGTCAGCAGCAGGAAGGCTCCCTAGACCAAATTTGAGGTTGTAGTTCATCACATCTCCTCTCTATTGTGTATATCATGGTTGGTAGCCCATAGTTTTCCAGTTAGTTATTCGGTGATTCCATGTACTTTGATTGATCTAGGCTGTCGAATTTTATTTCCTCAAAAAAATATTCATCATCAGATTTAGATAATGATGTTAGCACTTCAAGGTCACCCATTAGACGTTGTCAAAGTGCATCAAATTTCTCCATGAGTAGTCTTCTGAAGCCTTTCCATTTAAAGATAAAATAGTTTGAGTGAATTGCCTTATGATTCAGCGATCATAAGATAATTTAGAAGTACACAAGAAGTCGAGGAAGTAAGATGAGATTAGGTGCACATATTTAACAAAGTGACCTTACATGCTACCACTTAATTATGTCTATCCACACATGGATATTGCAGGCATGAACAGAGATTTAATCTAGGATAGTTTAACGAAGGTAATTCCCAATTATTTTACAAAGGGGACTTCATCATGACTTTATATTGCCTACTATTTATGTTTTCTTATGAATTAAAGATGTTGCCAAATGAGTATGTAGAAATTTTGAATTATATTACTGCACAAATCAGAGGTAATATATTTAGTTTGTTGATCGATGAGGTTACCGATGTGTCTGGCAAAGAGCAAATGACAATTCTTTCGAAATACTTTAGCAATCTAGGATTTATCATTGAACGGTTAGTTGGAGTCTAACATGTTAAGGAAACATCAACAATTTGTCACAAGGCTACTCTTAAAAAATCATTCACTAATATTTGATTAAGCACAAAACATGTCAGAGGACAATATTATGATGGGGCAAGCAACATGTGTGTCAGAGGACAATAGTGTGATGGGGAAAGCAACATGTATGGTGTGTTCAATTGAAAGCAAATATTTTGCAATATTATTCACTTTATTATGTGCATTACTTTGCTCAACAACTCTCCATTTCATTCAATGTCATCCAACTGGTATGTCTCGCACTCTCTCAGTTTTTAATGCAATACAATATGTGTCGTGGAATTGTCACGGCAGATGTCCTAGAGAAAGGACTTAGTCGTAGGGCCATCGCAACTAGGAAGCTTAAAGGGGTTAATCGGGACAAAGGACACGAGAGGTTTTATACTAGTTCGGCCCCTTACAATGAAGGTAAAAGCCTACGTCTAGTTGTGTTGGTATTGCTAGGGTTTTGATCCGGCTTGGTTCTCGATCTCTTGTTTCTTGCCCTAAGCCGCCACCGGGTCGTCCCCTTATGTACACGGGCTGACGTCTGGTGGCCTACAGAGTCCCAGCCGGCTCATAATCGTGTCTAGCTCGGTGACTTCCTTTACATGCATTTCCTTACAATATGTGATAGGTGATGTCATATCTCTATTATGTATGTTGTGTTTTAGTGCCAAACACTTCTTGAGATGGTATAGATTTGAAGTTATAATTAATTTATCGGTACCAAATCCTTATAATAAGTCAATGACTGAACCCAATGGCAAATTTTTCTGGCTCTGCGCCTGCATGCTGCCAAAAGTGTACATCTTATCATTTCAATATTTTATTACTCTTTGCCTCAATCTGGATAATTTTCATAATTCAGGATTTCAGCCCACGAACATTTGGTGCCATCAAACAAAGATTTTCCTCGTCGACTTCTAGTATCTTGTTTTTGCATTTAATTTGAAGAAGAAAATATCATTATTGATATAAAAATAGAACGTGCCAACAATACATAATATGCATGACAAGTAACAAGAAAGCATTGTTGGAGGCTTGAAACACACCGACATGGTAAAAACTGAACACACACACACACACACACACACACACACACACACACACACACACACAGAGAGAGAGAGAGAGAGAGAGAGAGAGTGCTTTAGTACTTCTCTAAATGAACTTTACATTGATCTTAAGGCATCTGATTCAAACACTTGAGCTACTTTATAAGAACCATGAAGCTATCATTTAGAAAAACAAGCACCACTTTTATTCATATCCTTAGAGCGCAACATCTTAGGGGTAGACCTCGATAGCGCATCGAGCCCCCAGCTTCTTCACAATTTTATAGTCTTTGAACCCTGCTTCCACGAATAGCTTGCGCCAGTCATTTTCACTCCGTTGGGCTCCTCTTGTGTTCACCATCATGAGCATATCCATCAAGAGTTGGGCTTCAAACATTATTGGTCCTAAGGAAGGTCCAATCACGATGTCTATGATAATCACCTTTCCTCCCTCTCACGTGGAGGAATGGCCTTCTTGCACTGGGTTAAGATTTGTACACAATCCTCGTCGCTCCAAAAGTGTAGCACAAGCTGCAACAATAGGTAAAGTTCAAAGAATGAAAGATCGATAAGTGTGACTTCTACGAGTTGTGAGACCAAAATGTAAGAATTTCCCATAATTTGTCATGTTATATATACCTTGAGCATCACGGCTTGAGAAGATGGGACGGTGTGGAACAGGTCACCCGCAACATAGTAAACGACGCCATCAGTTGGGGCTTTGTCGATCACCTTCGGAAGGTCCAGCACGGTGCACTTGATGTGCGGGTAAGCCTTGACGAGAGCCCTCGCCGTCGTACCATCGCCACCACAGCAGTCAGTCAGAGACTCAAGTCCCTTGAAGATGTCACCGCACTCGCGAAGTATGGTTGCAATCCCCAGGTTGTCGTGGGCAGCCAAGCCTTGGTTGGCAACGGCGTCAAACTCTTCATCCATGAGGGGTGTTCTCTCATCAAAGATTGGGACGCCATGCAAGTCCTCGAAAGGAGACGGCACTGGTGGCTCAAGGTCCTTCTTGAACCAGTCGGCCAGCCCCAACGCAGCCTCCGCGCAATGCGGCGAGGTCACTCCAAGCACAAAATACTTTTGGCTGTGGTGCTCATCCGCGTCGACGCCGTCCACCAGGATGCGGGACAGCGGGGTGAGGCGGTAGAGCTCCCCGCCGGACTCGGAGTCTTTGTCGGCTGCGAAGACCCCCGACGCGACGAGCACGCGCATGAGCCGGCTGAGAAACGGCATCTTTACTGATGGAAGGGACAGCTCAGCCATCAGGTCGGGCAGCGAAGCGAACCCGCCGAGGCGGTGGATGGTGGTCGGGATCCCAAGCTGGACGGCGCACCGGAGCCCCATGGACGAGAGGTAGTAGAGGCTGTGGCGCCACAGGTCAGCCTGCGCCTGCAGCAACTCAGCGTCCGTCGGAACTTCAATGGTGTCTGCGTGAGCCGCCATCGCTCTCCCGGACCCTCTCCTTCTCTGTTCCGTTCTCTTGATGAGTGTGTGGTTGCTATGTGTTGCTTTGGAAATTCGTTGATGTGATGAGCTAGTGCTTAAATAGACCACACACGACACAACAGGCTATGAAGTAACACGCGGCACAAGAGATAATAGAGTATGAATATGCAGCTAGGTGTATATGTTTCTGCGGTCCACTCTCCCAATTGTGGCATTGTGGCGCCAGATCGGTCACGGACTCTTGTCCTGATGAATTTATGGGGTTGTTGGCACGCACAGGCACTGCTGATTGCCAGGAGAGTTTGATCTAGCAGATTCATCTGGAAAATGAAAAAAATAGCGTGGCCTCTGAAAATATGCTATTAGCGTGTTATAGCATGCTATAGCGTGCTATTAGCGAGGCATTGTACATTGATTTATTTAGCGAAATAATTCTTTGTGTACTATAGCATTGCTATTAGCGATGCTATAACGCGTTATTTTTTTCAGTGTCAATTGCAAAGAAATACCTTAGGACAACTGACATGCATGGCACCAGTGAAATTAATTGTGTCAAGTGTTGATTTTTCTAAAGGAGGTTGAATCCCGGCGTCTGCATTGTACGTGCACATGGCCGTTCTTATTGATTATTAACTAGAGTACAAAGCAAAGAAAACCACTACCGAACCGTTCCAAAATAGAATAAAATTAACACCTACAACCAAGTTAATTTTCATCGTCAGGTTTAGCGGAGTTGGCCTGAAAAAGGGTTTTCATCCTGCTTGCAAAGACCAGCAGTAGACGCCACCTTCAATAAGGTAACGACACAAGTACGTCGTTGCCTAGCCTAGCAAATAAAGATGTGGACAAGAGTTTTCACCTTGCAATAAAACAGTGTTCCAATCAACATCTTGATGAACGATAATTCAATACTCGCTTCCGTTAGTACTCCATGCCAGGGCCAAAGGCGCTAGCAAAATGATGGGACATCTTTCACCTAAGAACACGGTCATGGCTGTCAGGAAGACGCTCATGTTATCGCAAAACTGATCACTGTCACTCCACACCGACACGAGTCACACGACAGCATCCCTCGTGCCGTCATAGCCAGGCCTCATAGCCACTGCTAGTTGATGCGTGTCAACTATTAATAAATAGTTAAAATCACGAGCCCCCTTCCCCACCCATTTATTAATCTCCATTATGAGTGCGTCTCCTGATTCCACATCACACTCTTCAAGATGACAAAAAAGAAGAAGGAAAACAAAAAAGGCCAACAAGCCATCTACTTGCAACGGATATGACGTTCACTAATGGTTTGTTGTTTATTTTCCGAGAACACGATACAGATGCACGCGCATACACTTATCCCTATGAATACACACGCACACCTGTCCCTATGAGCACCGTTGAAATACTAAGCCAAGATATCATATTGAGATTGACGAAGTCATCACAGACGTCTCGTAGTCGACAGGAACGTCTCCTCCCACAGAACGCGCATCATCGAAAATTCTGAAATAGATCCTGAAAAATGCTAGGGATACGACTATACTCCTAACCATCCAACCACAGGTTGATTCACACTAATGGTTTGTTATTATGGTGAATTGAAAGCGGGAAAATTAAAGCAGGTAATCATGACCAACAGTGAGTTACAAACAACAGATCTTACCTACTTCGGCCATGTGCCATCATCATCTTGCTTCCCACATTTCGTAATCTCCCATGTCCATGTGAGTTACTTACATCCAACTGGAATATTTCATAACCCAAATTCGTCAAGTTTTGGCTTCCATACTTTGCCAAGGGTTGAACTTATCTATAATAGGTTCAAAGTTTCAGTTTCAATAATTTAAGTCAATAGATGTAAATGTCGGCAATGACATAAGTGTATATCATATCCATATCACGGATTACTAGACGTGCACATCTTATCCATACAATAATTTACTACAACATCGAGCCTGCATCTGGATATATTTTAAATAAAATTCAAGGTCTCAATTAGCACACATACGAAGGTCTATGCTCCAATATGATCGTGATGAGTAATGATAAATTGCACTGTATATACATAACCTTGGAGAGTTCATGTT